AATTACAAAAATGTTTAAAATTGAGTTTTACGCGTTTTGCTACTTGATAGCTTTTTGATAGCTCTTTTGGTTTTTGAGATATGCACCTTTAAATATAGCAAGCCCAGTCTTCCCCTCCATCTCTTTTTCTTTATGCTCTCTAACGTGCAACAAAGTGTAATACGACGAAGAAAAAGCGGTCCCAGGAAAAACGAGAGGTTCCCATACATTTGGCACAAGGGGTCTGTTCAAAGAGTAATAAAAAAGAGCCCAAAAAACGGGACAAGGGAAGCAATAAATATCGGACCAGATGGGAACACAATCAACCATAACGAGATCCCAGAAGAGAGTATGGATCCTCGAGAGACGCAGAGAAATAGGCGGGGCGTCGTTCCGGCGCTCCTACACCAGCCAAGACCCCTCATTTCTCCCCTACGACGACCTGACTGAATGGACGTCTCAATTTCCCAGGAAATTCTCCAAAAATCCTAAAAATGAATGGATTTTGGAGGCGTTTCCTTTATTTTTCTAAATTTACCTATATATTTACCCCCTCCTACCTACTATTTATTCCCTAGAAACTTTCAAAAAAGCCCTATGGATTCTTGGAAGTTTATTTTCCTGAAAAGGTTAGTTGGTGAATTTGTCTGAAATTTTGAATTTATACTAAAAAAGAAAAGAGCTTCATTTTTGTAGTTGTCACTGTTTTGGTAGCTATAGTAGTTTTTGAGATATGCGCCTTTAAAGATGGACAGCTTGAGAAGGAGTGCCCTAGCGGCGACATCTTTAAAGGCACATAACTCAAAAACTAGGATAGTTCAAAAAAAGTTGTAAACTATAAAAATGTGTGAAATTTCATTTTGAGCAGTTTTTTGTTAAAAATTTTTTAGTAGGTACCGTAGTTTTTGAGATATGCGCCTTTAAAATCCTCCTAAACCTCAGAAATCGTAATATTTTCAGAAAACCTTGTTGCTATTTTTGTTCTTCTTTTTGCAGAAAAAATGCGGTTGTGCATACTAATGCTATTCAGTTTGCCGCTGCATTGCCAGCTCTCAATCGGTTTGCCGACCAAAGTTCACGCAGCTCATCAACTTCTGGAGATATCGAAACTCATGTTACCCCCCTTACGTCTACGCTCAACCTGAAGAAATCAACAACGACAAAAAATGAAACCGAGGGATCTGGCTCAACACTTTCTGACTTGGATTCCAACGTTTCTTTTAACTCAACACCTCCAGGCATCATTTGAAGGCTCTCTTTTCTTTGAGTAAGTCCATAAGTTTTTCATGCAGAACTCCTCCAATCTTCCAAGACAGAATCTTCGATCCTCGAAAAAAAATAAAGAAGATGAAGAAGAGAACCACAGAGAAGAGAAAGGTCTACAAGAGAAAAGATCGGATAGAATGATTCCATCTTCAACTCGTCGGTGAGTTCAAAACACGATTGTTTTATTTAATATCATACTTGTAATCCGGGCCTTTGCCGGGCCTTCGCGGGCCTTGCCATAACTTCTTTCAGAATCAATGTTTTCTAACCAACTCAATCAGATATGATAGAGCTCTACGAGTACTACAAAACGGTATTATTTGGAATACTGTATCTTGTCCATGAACAGAGCTACAGAGCAAAAAGAGCAAAAAAAAAGCAGGCCCTGC